ATAAATAAATAAATAAGCATGCTACTGTACAGCATCACTTCCAAGGATGCTGTATTCAGGCTAGCATTTATTATTTTAATTAACTTTTTTCCTTTATTTTACATACCAACCACAGTTTCCCCTCCCTTCTCTCTTCCCATTTCTTCCCCCAACTCCCATTTCCCTCCTCCCCATCCACCCTGTGTCTCTATTCAAAACTGGGCAGGCCTCCCATGGCTTTGACTATAACATGATACATCAAATTTGAGGTAAGACTGAGCTCCTTCCCCTGTATAAAGGCTGGGCAAGAATGGGAAGCAGGTTCCCAAAAGCCAGCTAACCACCAGGGACAGGTCTTGATCTCACTGCTAGGAGTCATACAAATATACCAAGCTACACAACTGTCACACACATGCAGAGGGCCTAGGTTGGTCCTATGCAGGCTCCCTAATTGTTGGTCCAGAGTCCATGGGCTCCCATGAGTTTAAGTCAGCTGTATCTGTGGGTTCCTCTGTTGTGACCTTGAAGCCCCTGCCTGGTATAATCCCTCCTCCCTTTCTTCAGGAGGACTCCCAGAGCTCAGTCCAGGGATTGGCTGTGGATCTCTGCATCTGCTTCCATCAGTCACTGGATAAAGGCTCCATGATGAGAATTAGGGTAATCACCAATCTGATTACAGTAGATGGCCAGTTCAGGTACCCTCTCCACTACTGCTAGGGGTCTTAGCTGGGGTCATTTTTGTGGATTCCTGGAAGCTTTCCTGATACCAGGTTTCCCCCTACCCTCTCCCACCCCCAGCCTACCCAACCTGCTCCCTCAAGTTCCCACACCTCCACCTCTACCCCCAGTTTACCCAAGAGATCTCTTCTATTTCCCCTTCCCAGGGAAATCGATGCATCTCTCTTTGGGCACACTTCATTATTTCAGCTAGCATTTATTAAAATCCATTCATTTGTTCCTTTCAGAAAACATTTAGTGAATCAAAGGTATACCTCTGTACTATGTGATACAGCTTATGTTTATATACATAGGCAGTTACATACACTTGGCTCTCCACATCTATAAAGTTCCACACTGGAGAATTCTACCAAGTACAAATCAGTGGGTGAAAGTACTTGCTGCTAAGACTGGCGATGTGATTTAATCCTTGGGACCCACATAGAAAAGAGAATCAGTTGTCTGCTGACCTCCATCCACAAGTGATGGCATGTTTGTGTGCACACACTAAATAAATAAGCCTTTTTTAATTAAGAAAAATGCATGTATTACAGTGCTATACATAATGAAAGATCATTTAAATTTAAGGTAAATATAAATTATATAAATATAAAACTCAATTCAAACTTGAACACATTTCCATTTTTTTATATTGGCACAGTAAAGTGTCAAGAAATATGTTTAATCATGTAAGATTTGGATTTTATGCCCCACTAGTAACATCTGCTTTTGTTTTTGTTTTTGTTTTTTTTTTTTTTGTTTTTGTTTTTGTTTTTGTTTGTTTGTTGTTTTGGGGGTTGGAGAAGTTTGAGACAAGGTTTCTCTGTAGCTTTGGAGACTGTCCTGGAACTAGCTCTTATAGAGCAGGTTGGCCTCGA